TCATTATAAATATATATATATAAATATAATTATATTATATATTTATATAACTATATTATATATATAATTATATTATATATATATAATCACATATATATGCCATATACATAAATATATATACGTGTGTCCACACATATGCATATGTTTATAATTATGTATATACATATTCATGTGTATATATACATATTCATATATATATATATATATATATATAGTTTATATATATATATATATTTGCAATTAGTATTAGTAATATTATTATTTTTAGTTTATTATATGTGCGGTTGTCATATTCACCATCAATATCATCACAGTAGGGTGGGGGTGATCATCATCGTCATCATCGTCGTCTTCATCGTCATCGTCGTCATCATCATCAACAAAACCGTTTTCTGCCTTTAGTAAATTGAATTTTGCTATGAAAACGTGTCTTCATTGCGAATCGTTCTACTCCTTTCATCTTTGTATCTTCCATCTTGTGTTTGTTTGTGTTGGTGTGTCTGTGTGTGTGTGTCTGTGTGTGTGTGTGTATATGCGTGTATGTACAGATTTTTATACAATAAAGATGCTACTACTACTACTACTATTACTTCTACTACTATTACTGCTACTACTACTTGTGGTAGTAGTAGTTGCGGCTACTGCGTCTACTTCTACTACTGCTGCTGCTGTTGTTGTTACTACTGTGACTACTATAATAATAATAATGATGATGATGTCGGTAGCCGTGTGTCGTTCATTTATCCACCTAATCATATTTGTTATAGCTGTCTTCCGCTTACCTGATGACGACGATGATGATGACGACGACGATGATGATGATGATAAAAAATATAAAAAAATGATGATGATGATGATGAAAGCGATGATGATAATGATGTGGTTATGAGAAGATGGTGGTGAAGATACCACAAAAATTTCGCGACATTATATTTAAATTTTTTACAGGTTTTTAAATAGCAACAACAATAGCAACATCAATAACATCAACAACGACAACAAATACAGCAACAACAACAATAACTACAACAACAATAACAGCAACACCAACAACAGCAACACCAACAACAGCAACAAACAACACAAATTAATTTCCTTTTTTTAGCGTGTACCGGACGGCGTCTGTGCTTTCCTGTGTTGTTGATGTTGTTGATGTTGTTGAGTTTGTTGTTGATTTATAATGTTTTTGTTTACGTTTTCATTGAGGTCATAAATAATTCATTGTCTACCTTTTTGTTGCTTTGTATGTATTTTGTTTATTATCATTCATTTTATTTTAATTCCTTCATTCATTCATTCATTCATTCATTCATTCATTCATTCATTCATTCATTCATTCATTCATTCATTTATTCATTCATTTATTCATTCATTCACTCATTCATTCATTCATTTACTTCTACTTTAATTGCCTGGCGCCTTCGTTTGCACGTTGTAATTAAATGTTCGGTGTTAAATGGTCAGGGATTGTGTGTCAATGTTATTTGATCGATGCCCTTGTTCTTCTTGCGTCCGATGATGATGTTGTTGTTGGTTGGTGACGATGATGATGATGTTGTTGTTTGGTGACGACGATGATGGTGTTGTTGTTGTTTGGTTGGTGATGATGATGTTTGGTTGGTGACGATGATGTTGTTTGGTGATGATGATGATAATGTTGTTGGTTGTTTTTAAAAAAAAAACCTTACATAAATTTTTTTGCAATGTCACTAATAGCAATAGTGGAAAATTATTCCGACCAATACTTTGTATTTCATCCTGTCTTAATACTCGTTCATTCATTCATTCGTTCGTTCGTTCATTTCTGTTTGTTCCTTGATACACTTCTTCTTTCGTTCGTTCATTCATTCGTCCATTCATTCATTCGTTCATTCATTTCATCAGCATCAGTACCATTAGCGAACGCTATAGTTGGGGAAATCATCGCCGCCAAAAGAAGTAACATGACAGTAGTAGCAGTGACTGTAGTAGCAGCAGCAGCAGTAGTAGTAGTAGCAGCAGCAGCAGCAGTAGTAGTTGTAGTAAGAGTAGTAGTAATAGTAGCGGTAGAAATAGTAGTAGCAACATCATCTTTTCAATCTATCATCTCTTAACGTTAATCCATTCTTCAGAACATCTTGATTCCTATGTCTCAATCATAAACGCCTTCACACTATGTGTGTCTGCGTCTATATGTGTGTGCGTGTCTGTACGTGTATGTGAACGTGTGTGTGTGTGTGTGAGTTAAAATTGCTTCCTTTGATAACTAAGTTGATGTCATTTTACCCCAAAAACCTCGAATCTTAGAATATTTTTTAATGAAGAAAATTTTGTTTCCATATAAAATTATTGCGTATAAATGTAACCACATATATTCATACCTAGGTTTCTCTTAATGTTTTATTACGACCATCATCATCTCTATCATCATCATCATCATCACCATCACTATCATCATATCATCGTTACCGCCATCAAATCGACAACAACACTAACCTCACAGACGTGACGTCAATAAATGAAGGCCTCTGATTGGCTGGTTATATATATATATATATATATATATATATATATATATATATATATATATATATATAATATTGTTAGTAAACCATTACCCGCCATAGGCCAGTAGCCTGCCGAATAAGGTTTAAGATAACATAACTCAATTGTTGTGACCAAGAAACTCAATTTGAGGTTTAAGTATATATATATATATAATACAACTATATATATAATATATAACTATATATAAATATTGATTTGTATATTTTTTAATATAGAATATATGTAATAAATTTATATAAATAAAAGACCATACGTCAAACTTCACAATTTTTTGTTATTAATTACGACCACCAATCAAAATTTTTCAAAAGAATTATATAATTATTTATATAAATACACACACACACACTAACACACATGTGTGTGTGTCTGCATGTTTGTGTGTGTGTATGTGTAGTTATAAAAATGCTAAAACACCAACGATGATAATAATACAAAGCTATAAATAGATACAGAAATACAACACGTCACATACAAACGTACATACATGCGTTTGTTTGTACATACAATGTATGTGTAGCCAGATATACACAGACGTACACATACACATACAAACAAACGAACAGAAAATTTAAATACAAAAATTTCATAATATAATACAATAATGAGTATGATTATGAATAAAAGTTGGCAACAATGTTGTACACACACACACACGCACACACATACATACATACATAGACTAGCATCACATAAACATACATGAATGTATAATAAATATGAAAATGTATGAACGAACGAACGAATGAATGAATGAATGAACGAGTGAGTGAAAGAGAAAAATGAACAAATAAATCTATGAAATGAGAAAATATATAGAATCTCTATATATGTAAATATAAAATGAATAATGAAGAATAGAATTCAATCAATCAATCAATCAGTTAATCATTCAAGCAATCAATTAACCAACAAACCAATCATCTAATCTTTTAATTTGTCAATCGAATTGTTTGAATCGTTGAAAATTATTGTTAGAAAATCAACGTTACAAATAATTAATTAATACTAGGTTTAATATCAAAAGCTTCGACTGACAAACAAATCAATCAATCATTCATCATTCATCAATCAATCAATCATTCATTCATTCAGTCAATCAACCAATCAGTCAATAAACAAATCGACCATTCATTCATTCAATCAATCAATCAATCAACCAACCATTCATTCATCCAATCATTCATCCAATCAATCAACTCTTTAGTCCATCACTCGGTTATCCTCTCGACGAATTCCTGAAATCTTCTAGCATAGACATCCGGGGCCACGGTCGATATTTCAGCTCCGGGTCCGTACTTAACTGTCTTTGCTGTCTGCTCTATGGACTTCTTGACACCGTAGTGGGTTAGGATGTCTATTATCGCCAGGAAGTATATCTCCGGCCGTGGGCAAGCTGAAAAAGGGATGTGTTTGTATTCTTAGAATAGAGATGTGTTTTTATTTTTGAACTTTTCAGGAAAGAAGATGAAAAAAATTTTTCAAACTATAAAACGAGTGCAACTGCTGAAGAACATGCACGACTTTAAAAAATTGAAAAAGTTAAAACAAAACTGAAGAGGAACCGACATTCGCAACTTTTAATCCCGAACGGTTCTAGAAAGGGGTCTAACTCGCCGTCTGCGTAACCCGGATAGCTCCGAACATTCTGAGGGCTCTCGGGGGGCGTCGGGTCGCCCCGCCCGCTCGGAGATGACGTATTGTTGTCGTCGTCGTCGTCCTCGAGGTCGTTGTCAGACGAAAGGACCAGTGGCTCGGCATCGTCACTGTCCCGATCGTGTATGCCGACCACCAAACTGTAGTTGACGAGGCTCAAGTTGGCCAGGAACTTTCGGATGAGTGATTGAGTGTGATGTGGATGAGTGAGAGATGTTGATTGAAGAAAGTGAATGAACGGATGGGAGAGTGATGTTTATGTAAGAGGAATAAAATTAACGAATGCACAAGTGATGAAAAACAAAGATGACAATGGAATCATTGAGTAGGAGTTAGTTAAAGAGGATATGACCAATGAAATAAATAAATGAATGAGTGAGTGAATGAACAAACAAACAAACAAACCAAATACCTCTGTGTCAGCTTTCAGAGTTGTGAGCAACTTATCACGTTTCTCCTGACCGACCTGGATGATGCGCCTGTCGCTGAGGAAGTCGTTGTCCTTCAGGGTGGGCAGGTCCTTCGACTTTTCTTTGTCGCTCGCTTGTCTAGAGACTGTCGAACCCTTCAATGGTTAAAGTTGAAAAATTAATTCGTTATCAATCAATCAATCAATCAATCAACAAACCAACCAACCAACCAGCTAATTGATCAATCAACCAACCAACCAGCCAGCCCATACGTAAATCAATCAACCAATCAATCAACAAACCTTCAGATCATATTTCTTATGTATAGTAAATCGTCTGCTAAATATATTCTTTGAAACGAGCAAATAAGTTTCTGAGTCATTTATAGAAACTCGGTACATCCCTAAATATTGGGGGAGCAGTGTGTCTGCATGGCGCTCCACTATATACTAAAATTAGGAAAAAAGTTGGACGATGGAATTAAGAGACAAAATATGCACACAGACTTATTATTTTACAAAAAAATCAACCAATCAATCAAGCAATTAGCCAATTAATTAACCAATCAATCAACCAATCATTCAACCAGCCAATCGAGCAACAACACAACTGACCAGTCATTCAAATAGCCAATCGAGCAACGACAAGCAAGCAACCTGGTGGTACTCCTTGAGTATTCTATGCATCTCAGCAACTTGTTCACTCGATATTGTCTTGATGAAGAAAATTTTATCGTACGACTGCATCGGCCGACTGCTGCTTCCTGCTTTGGCGTTCGTCTTCAAATCCTGGGGACAATCTTTAGTTAGGGATTTCTAGATTAGGGAGACATGATTGGGAATTCTAAATTAGAAAAACATGATTGGGAATTTTCAGGTTAGAGAAATGTAATAGGAATTTCTACATAGGCTAATCAACCATCCAATCAATCAGTCATTCAAGCAGTCAATCAACCAATTAAATGATCAATCAACCCCCTAGCCAACCAACCAACCAACCAAATAAGTATCATCATCAACATTAAATCTCTCCCTTAGGTTCCTGAATACATTAGGGCAGTACTCTTTGAACTTGAAATGACTAGGCATATTTTCCCTTCAATAATAATTATAAATTATAATATAATAATATAATAAGATAACATAATAATAAAAAAAATATATTAAAAACAAGTAAAAATAATAACACTAACTTACTTATTAAACATGTGATTGTCGACTCTTGTCTTCGTGTAAGCCTTAAAATCATCTGGCATTAACATAACTGGGGTGCTGACGTGTGTGAGCTCAGATATCTTTTTATATTATATTTATTAAAATAATTATTCAAAAATTAGTAATGTAGAATATTATTTAATTAATAAATTAACTATATAAATTTAATATTATTATGATTATAAACATAAGATTTAGTAGTATTTAGTTTATTGGTTGGCTGGTTGGTTGAGTGTAATATTAATAAAACCATCTGATACTATTGATGCCACTAAAAATTACTATAAGTCAACAATAAAAATGGTCCCCAAAATCAATGCAACAGAATTCAAAAATAGGATTTTGAACTAAAAGAAGTACACAGCCATACAATACATGGACATACATACATACACACACATATGCAAGCAAGTAAAGAGAAAAGGCATTTAAGAATAAAGTAAAATAAAATCAAAATGAAGTCAAAATGAAAGAAACTAGGCAGAGATTCAAAGAAGAACAGCCACGAACGACCTACCGAATGGTTGATTCCCCACATGAAAACACTGAACAGAGGCTCTTTTGCCCTGAACAACCTCAGTTTTGGTCTGACGGCTTTTAAATGTTTTTTCTTTTGTTTGGTGGTCGACATTTTGTTTGATTTTTTCAAGAAATCACGAAAAATGAAGTTAGATCAACCTTTTAAACTCTCCTTTTTATAATTAAAATTGGGTTGCAAGTTATTTCATGAGTATGGTACTCTGCATTGAAAAATTAACGAAACAAATATGAAAAAATTATGGGAAAAATTTATTTAATCAAATAGACACTTAAATGACTAGAATTAATGAGAAACAGTTTGAAATTGTTATTCTGACGGCGAATTTGAATGAAAAAAAGTCGCGGACATCCTCCTAATCTCGATCAAAACATCAACATAAAGTAAATTAGATGAGGAACATAGACGAAAAAATCTTTTTGTTATACACTTGCCTGGTTTTCCATAACTTTTATTATAAAATCTCAAATTTTTCGAATACAATATACTAAAGCCCATTTTTCAATAATTTATATACAACGAAAAAATCAAGTGGGTTATTAATCCACGACTTCATCAAACGAAGTTCGAAAAGAAAACTGAAAGAATCTACAATCTAAATGACAACAGTCAAGTTATAATATACCTGTTAATTGACGTTAAGTGATAACAAAGCATAACGGAAAATTTTTTTTCAAGAATGTAGAAAACAAATCCAACAAAAGAAAAAATCTTAAACTCTGAGTATCATTCTCAACAACTGCCAATCAAAGTCTGGCACTTCCGCTCCTTAGTCAATTAGGCTTGGCTATTCCAATAACCCCGCAAGCCACCCTGGCCCCGGCGTGGCCCGTTGTTGTACTATCTTCGTACCCTCCCTTGCCCAAATCATCTTCATCAGCATGAATGACCAATGTACGACCTATGACTGATTCAGCGCCGGTCAGTTGAATTAAACTGTCCACCATCTCAAATTTGGCCACTCCTGAACCGTCTGCCACCACATTTCCGAGATCCCCAACGTGCCTGTGGTCAATTATGGAGAAAAAATATTTTGAGATTACCTAAATCAACAACTGCAATTCCAATTAAATCTAACTATAATCTAATTAACACCTTAATTGATCCAATTAAAAAAACTCATTACTTATGACAGTTAGTTAGACACAGGTAACTAGCATATAAAATTATGGTTAAACTATGAATATAATTAATAATTATTAAATAATAATTATTAAAAGGTGAAAATTGATTGAACTTTGACCTGAGAGAATCTCCAGGCCCTCCATGGCTCTTCAAAAAAGGATTGTAATGACCACCTGCTGACATGCACCCTGCATTTAAAAGAAAACAAAATTATAAAAATTATAAAAGGACTTAATTATAAATAATTTAGTATAAATAAATCTATATACAAAAATCTAAAAAATAATTAAAATAATAAATGTATTAATAACCATTGGTGTTATCACCAAATTCATGAACATGAAAACCATGTTTTCCTGGAGTCAGGCCAGTGATTTCACCAAAGATCTTTGTTGGCCCATTTGCATCCTAAAAGGGAACATTTACAAGCAAGAAATTAGGAATCAGGTAATTTTTTAACAGGTTTCTGGTTTATTCATCATACGATACATTCATAAACAAACACAAACACAAACACTTTTAATTTAAAAACCATACATTAAAAGATTAAATAGTAAATACTGAATAGTCAAGAATGACAGCGCATCCGCATTTTTTGCAATAAAATTACATTTTATTGAAAAATTAAAAAGAAAAAAATGGAAAACCTGGCTAAAATGGACGACACCTTTGACAGGACCGTCACCTCTCATGACCGAAACAGCAGCAAATTTCATTTTTAATGTCTAAAATAATCAAATTAGTGAGAGTAATAAGAGAAAGAAACTTGAGAACCAATGAATGAACAAAATTATCACTGATTTTTCACTAATCAGGAATTAGTTTCACTAACTCACCTTATTATATAACGACGAGACTTTGAAATGGAAGTATTTTTAAAAGTTAACTTTAGTAGTTAATTTTATTAGCATGAACCATTGAAACTGCAAGATTAGACTGATTTTGATTTTTGACAAATTTTTAGGAAAACTCTTTTAACTTCCCATGAACGGTTGTCCTGACGTGGGAGCTTTTCAATAAATGCAATTTTTTAGATTAATTTTTATTTTTTACTTTTCTTTATTCATTGATTTTTGAATAATTCATATTATTATACGAAGTTATTTATTTTTCATTTATAGTAAACATTGAATGAAATAATTATGAATGAATGAATGAATGAATGAATGAAAGAATGAATGAATCAATGAACGAATGAATGAATCAATCTATCAATGAATTAATCAATCCAATCAATTAATCAATGGATGGATGTATGGAGGAACAGATAAACGTTTTATAAATGGATAAATGAACAAAGCATGAACAAACAAAAAATGAACCAGCAAACGAACGAACGAACAAATAAATGAACGAGAGAATGCACGAATGAAAGAATGCAAAAATGAGAGATTGGATATTTTCATTGACGCAAACAACCGATTTTGTTACAGCCGTCTTGCTCTTGCAGTCGTCACATTCAAAATTATTCTAGATCAAATTGATTTCTAAGAAAAATAACAATGATAATAATAATAATATTATTATTATCAAAAATAATAACAATAATATATATATATATATATATATAATGATAAACAAAAACATTGAAAATTAACAATTGTTAATTAACATAATTTAATGATGACCCTTGAAAAGGTTATTGAACACGTAGAACTCAGAATTAAATGATGACGACGACGACGATGATTGTGATGATGATATGGGTTGTGATGATGATGATGATGGCAAGACTAAAGGCAATGATGATGATGATGATACTGATGGTGATGAAGACGACGCCAGCATGTTTAGATGAGTTGTTGTGTTTGTTGAATGATATGTTGTTGATGTTGCTGATGTTGTTGTTGTTGAAACCGATCGAAACGACTGATTTGATGCTGTTATGCTGTTATTAACAGTATCATTGATATTGTAGTTGTTGTTGTAGTTGTCGTTGTTGTTGTAAATGTTATTGTTGACGTCTAACACGCTTTCATTTGTTTCATAATAATTATTATTAATAACGTCTTTGAAACCATCAGTTTTGTCGTTGGTATTGTTGATGACGTCATTGCTGTTGATGACGTCATCGTTGTGGATGCTGCTGATGTTGTTGTTTTCGTTTTTGACGTAACACACGTAGGCGTAATCGAAGGTCGGCTGGCTGTGATGCGGTGAAGATGGCGATGGAGAGTCCGGAGAGATTGGCGATACTTCGATGTACGGGTACATCACTGGTTGTGGCTGCAGTTGCTGCGGCTGTTGCTGCTGCTGCGGCTGCTGATGCGTTTGTTGTTGCTGGTAGTGGTAAAATTGTTGTTCAGCTATATGCGGAGGTGACGGCGATTTTGATTGGCTGAGACTGTTTTGGTCTATTAGACAATCATTTTGTCTGACCGGCTGCAGAATTGGTGGTGATGGTGATAATGATGATGATGAAGATGATGATGAAGAAGAAGATGAGGAGGAAGATGATGAGGAAGAGAATGATGATGATGATGAGTGATTCTGAATGGTGACTTCCTGCATGAATACGTCATCGTAAGTGCCATTCATAAAATTACTGCCCTCCCATGATTGGTCGAACGTTTGCAAAGAAGGCGGTCCTGTCATTGGTAGTAAACTTGGAGGGGCGGAGCTTATGCCGCTACTGCTATTAATTGATTGTGGGTGAAAGTCGTTATCGTTTAGCGGCAAAGCAAAGTAATTGGTTGAGTTTGGGGCCTGCTGGAATGGAAAGATTTGATTGGACTGCTGAAATAATGATCCTGCTTCGTTATTGGCCGATTCAAAAAATTGGGCAAAGTCCTCGTGCTGAAGAGTCGAAGTGTCCTCCTCCTGAAAACCTGAAAAAAATAAAAAATGAAATAAAATTATAATTAATTATCTCATTAATAAAAATTTAATTGATTATTTGAATAATTAATTCAATCGGAAAATAAAAAAGCACGCACTGTTGCTCCTACTCAAATAATTCAGCAACTCTTCCACTTCGTCGTCGTTGGTAACCATGGAAACGGCATCACTCTGCATGGATGTAGTTCCGGTAAAGAACTCCAAAAAATCTCTACCACACTGACTTTCTCCGGTGCAACTAACGGCCGGTGTTTGATTGGCCGTTGCTGCTGTAGGGATGTGCCAGGAAGATGCTGATTGGCTGGCCGCTGGCGGGCTTATTGACTTTGCGGTTTTTGTTTTCTTTTTATTCTTCTGTTCAAGTATATGTAGGTATGTTTATGTATGTACATGTATGTATATATATATATATATATATATATATATATATATATATACTTTGCGGTTTTTGTTTTCTTTTTATTCTTCTGTTCAAGTATATGTAGGTATGTTTATGTATGTACATGTATGTATATATATATATATATATATATATATATATATATATACGTATATTATAAGCATATGTATATGTATATATATATACATATATACAATATACAAAACATGTGTGCATCTTAAAATTTAAAATCCATCCTTGCTAGTTTGATCTCATAATTTAATTTCACAAAACTAGATTAAGATGAGTGTTGACAAAAACATGATAACACGATCGTCACAAACAAACAGAGTCACACATACACATAAACACGCGCACACACATACACACACATACACACGCACACAGATATATTTGCCTATGAATAATAATAAATGATATGCAACATCTGGGTCCAAGACAAACTCGTGTATCTTCATGTATCCATTATATATCATGTATATATCTATTATAAATCATATATCCAGTGTAGTTGTTTAGCTCCGTCCATAAAATGAAAAAGTTGAAATGAATGATGATAATGATCGTGATAAGGTTTTAGTGTGACATGACATTGTATGATGATGATGGTGGTGATGATGATGGTGGTGGTGATGGTGATTATTTTAGGGCGTGCTCGCTTACTCGTCACGACGCTGCTTTAGTTAATTTTTGTTTCTCACTCTAATTTTCCTTATCGCTCTCTCTCTCCCGTTCGAATTCCTTCACTTTCTTACACTCCCTTTTCTACGACTCTCTCTCTTTCTTTCTCTCTCTTTTTTTATCTCTTTATCTATTATTCTTCTATCTCTTTATTTTTGGTATTTCTTTCTTCCTCTCTCTCTCATTGCAAATTTTCTGTTGTTAATTTTATTCTGTTTAGTTTCTCCCTCTCTCACTCTGTCTCTCTCTGTCTCTCTCTCTTTCTCTCTTTCATTCATTGTTTGTTCACTTTATCTATTTCTTATTCTCTTCTCCTTTTTTTCTCTCTCTTTCTCTCTCTCCCTTTCTTACGTGTTTTTATCTCTCTCTCTTCTACTTCTTTTTCCCTCTCTCTTTTTTCTCTCTTTCTTTCTCTCTCTCTCTCTCTTTCGGCTGAGATCGTCTTAAAACAATTTTCCCCTAATTTTAAAATGTGCAGTCCTCAGAGTAATTTTTTCTACGGTTTAAAATTCGCAACAAGGCAGACATAACAATAGAAATAATAATAAAAATTGTGACGATAATAATAATAATAATAATAATAATAATAATAAAAATAATAATTTTTTTTCTTTAAAAATACACTTACTCGTCTGGGTCTATTCTTTATCATTTTCGCGAACATACGTCTGTTTCTTAAGACATTATTATTATTATTATTATTATTATTATTATCATTATAGGTAGTAGTAGCAGTAGTAGTAGTAGTAGTAGTAGTAGTAGTAGTAGTAGTAGTAGTAGTAGCAGCAGCAGTAGTAGTAGTAGTAGTAGTAGTAGTAGTAGCAGTAGCAGTAGTAGCAGTAATAGTAGCAGCAGCAGCAGTTGTAGTAGTAGTAGTAGTAACAGCAAATTATTTAGTTATTTATTTTCATACAAATAATAATAACAATATCCACAAAAATACGATACAAAAGTTGTTTAGAATACTTCAACATAGTAACGTATGGTGCTACTACTGGATAGCAGTGGTTGCTAGCAGCTTAGGGACAATGTTACTTATCCATGCAACCTAGCAAGACTCACTTTTTCACCTTCTTCTGAACCATTCTGAGAAGTTGGGCTAACTTCTTTTGAAATTCTTCTTGAATATCGTCTTCGTCGTCGTCATCATCGTCTTTATCATCCTCTGCAGCTTCTGTAGTAGCGTCACCGTCGTTAGTAGTGGTAGTAGTAATAAAATTATTATTGATGTAATTAGTGTTATTATTATTATTGTTTTTTATTATCATCATTACTATCATCGTCGTCGTCGTCTTCATCACAATCTTTCTCTTTTATCATTCCTCATCATGATTTATAGTCATTTTGCTTCCATCACGTCTGTCATATTATGGCAGCATTGATGATGATCGTCGTACAGGCTTTATGTAGCCACACACACACACACGCACACTCACACACTCACACACACACGCACACACACACATACACATACATAACTATACACACACATACACACACACAAACGCATACACACCTTTAATGTTATCAGAAAATGGTGAGGACGATGACGACGATGATGATGATGGTTCTAACGATAATGATGATGATGACGGTTGTAACGATGAAAATGATGATGATGAAGATGATGAGGATGAAGAAGATGATGATGTCATTCTGCTGCTGCTGTCATCCTCCCTTTTTGAAGAACTTTGGCTACTGGTGCTTATGTTTTTGCTACTATAATCATTATCATCATAATCATCATCACCATTATTAACATCAACATTATCATCATCATCATCATCGTCATTGCCATCTTCTGCGCC